ATGATGATGATGATGATGATAAGTTCTAACTTTCAAGTAACTTTATGATGAACGGTTTTCATCCGGCCACAAAGCACTTGTTCCGTTAACCCATGTCGTGGAGACGGAGAACAGGACTCGAGTGCACCTTAATAGACCTCAGCATTGGTGTTATGCTTGACCCTACTTGGATGTAACTCCGGATATCTTACTTGCTAGCCCAATGTGTTACACCCACGTCACTCCTGCTTAATAAACCTAAATCACTATAGCCGAACAGTCAAGCAGGTTATCTAGAAGCTGAAAACTTCAACAGCCCACCATCATTCTCCACCTTCTTTGGGCTCATCGGGTAGGCGCAGTCACTGAGTTCCCGTTAAGCTTACGTCCGATCCCTAACTGGGGGATCTCAATAAACACGCCTATTTGCCCATGACTTTACTTTTGACGGGCGACTCAAGTGAATCCAGCTGAATGTCTCGTTTGCGATTTATTTTACTTGAATGCGCTACGTTGGGTCACCTCACATTTCAGTGGGTACAATGTTCGAGATATCATCATAGCCGGACAACTGAGCAGATCCTTTTTCCAGCAGTATGACTTTTTTGTACGTTTTACATGCGGGGGCACATACACCCATAAGGCTAGGCGAATAGGTGAGCTTAATCCACAATTGCCTCCTGACTGCTTCTAGCTCATGACTAGATTTTACCGGTGCTAAACCATCATTGCCCTTCCCGGCAGATATATGGATTACTGGCGAACAGGTTGCTTCTTGGTGCTGATGATAAAATGTACAGATGCACTAATGACGTTTCTTTGGCCCTCGTGATCAGCACTCACCGAAAAGTTCGCAGAAAAACCAGACGGTGGTTGGGCTATCTGAGAAAACCTAGACCATCTTTTGGCCAAACTGCTTATCTGGAAGCCTTCGTAGTGCCCACAACAAACATCCCATCAACTAAGGAACCAGTGAAAGTCATATTGTATACTTCAATTTTCTTACTCACAGGTAGAATGCGACATTTTCCGTGACGCCGAGTGGATGTGAACGTGCAGGTGGGGCAAGCCACGATATGTTTAATGTCTGGAACTGGCCAGCTTCTGCGGTGAGGTGTGTTACTGCACTTGGACGATAGACTGTGGTATAAGAAAAAAGAAAAGGAAAAATATGCCATGATCTCTGTGTTGGTGATAAATACCCTGAATTATATATATCTATCCCAATATCAAAATCTACTTGCCAATTGTTATCAGTACATTTCAATAGTTGAAAAAACGTAAGGGGGTTATCCTTGAATATGATATAAACGGGTACATATGCGGGCATCTGCCGTAAATATGAAAACTGCATTCCTAACGCTGGTTTATTCGGCAGTACGCACATCCAGGATATTTGGAAATAACTTACTTGCATATATTTCCTGACACCGTAAAACAACTGTTCTCGAGAAATATATACCCTCTTATGAAAATATAGTCCGATATCTCGAATATTGTGCTGACTGAAACATGAGGCGGCCTATGTGGAACACATTCAGCTGAAGACTGTCATAAATGAGAGATCCGGTTGAATCTGTCGTCAAAACCGAACTGATATACAAATGAGTGTATCTGTCAAAAATCTCAATAAGTTTCGTTGAGCTTTTCATTTTTTCTGGTGCCCTTAATTCGGACGGCATAAACAAGGAAATCATTCGAGCGGGTATTTAGTTGGATTTCCTGCAAACTTATTTCCGTACAAGATATTTTGGAAAGCCGCAGCGGATTACCAAGTGATTGTTGGGGCTTGTGTTTAGTCTAGCCACCTAATACCTACCTTAGGGAGCGTTACTTACTCCAGGACATTGCACACAACCGATCGCTATCCCTGCCCAGCCGAACTGTCCAGCGTGTCATGCTCTGGGCTTATCTCAGGCGAGATCAAAAGAGGATGCTGGTTCAATCCCACTGCTGGCAACTTACTTTGACATGATGTTAAGGTGTGTTTATTTCAGTACTGTCCAAAGGTGTAGATACCTTGTTCTTGAGTGCTTTTCTTGAGGAACTAGGGTTCTACGCACTCGTTTTCCACCCTTTTCCCTTATCCCTTGCTTTTACTTAGGCTCTCTATCTTCACGGTTTCACGGTAGCCGGGTGCCCATATATATCACTGGTTTACCGCTGTCAATGATGAAAGTGATTATGATGTTGTCGTAGGTTTCAGCTTGGAGTCCTTTTAGGAAAAGTGACAGGGCTTAGAAAATGAACCTGGAAAATCTCCCAAGATCTCGAATGTATTATGGGCATGACGGAGCACTTCACTGAGTGATTTTAATCCTTCGTAGCATCTGCCCAAACTGGAACCAGGGCCATCTTGATTCTTCTTTTACTGTGACATGCTAAGATCTTTGCTTGGAATAATGGCGGCCGGAACAGATAGGAACACACCAGTTGACTCGATATGTTGTGTCATCTTACTTGAAGTCTGCATAGGCAACCGCAGGAGAAAGTGTGAAAAATCCTGAGGTTCTGATAGCCCCACAAATTTTAAACCAGTGAATCTCTTCACCTTTGCTTAAATGAGTGAAAATCAGCCATCGTTGATAATAGCGTTAGTGTGGCATTATGAGGTTCAGTTCATTTCTCCAGACTTATTAGCCATGTCATAAGAGCCCAAAGGGATTGGTTCTGAATGGCCAGTCGCCGTATGGTTCAAACTTCATCGCACCCAACGCTGATGGGCCATATGAAGGTTGAAACAGCCGTTCACGCTTTTGGTGCTGGTGGCTGGTTATAGCTCCAGACAGTCGTACATGTCATGTTAAATGCTTACAAGCACTGCTCGATTCTGGTAAGAACACAGGATCCCAAATGCTTGAAGACGTTGAATGGTATTCGGAAGCAATAACTCACTCGCATGAATGAACTTATCACACTCCACAGGTTGCTTTGGCTTGACCACTAGCTCCATATTCCAGTCCATCGACTTCCCCTTTTTGCAGAACCACACGAATAGTGAGAACCACCCAAGGGATGTCAAATAATGACTTGGCAGCGAAGTGTGAAAGCCGTTATTCAGAAAATTGAACTACGCTGGTCTTCGCTGTCTTCCTGGATGGGGACCCCAAAACGGGCCAGATCGATGGCGTTCGTGTGCACAAGCAATCGCCTTCAGCGCGCAGCTCCTTCCCTAATCTCCCATTTAAAGGTACACTGTATTTACGCACCAATTTATCAGCTTTTGCTTCCCCACCTCCCCGAATAATCGGTGGACGGAAATGTGGCAGCTCCAACTACTATACGACAAGTACGTGATTCTTACAGCTGATACTGATGCTGCTGCTGCTGCTGCTGCTGATGATGATGATGATGATGATGCTGATTACAAGCATCAATCCACAATCACATTTGTCCATCCTGTCAGTCTAGCAAACTGGGGAGGAACACGAAGTTCATGCAGCTTTAGGTGGATGACAATGCCTAGAGAGAGTACCGCTGTGATGGATGGATTCGCTCGCATTTCTTGTTTGGTCGGACTTGTTTCAGTGATGTGGTTGGATAATGAAACCACAGAGAATTCGTCTGTTCCATAAACCAAGAAGTACGTGACATATATATGCGGGCTTTCACAAAGCAGGAAATAAATGTTTCACATTCTAACTGAAACTGTTTATAAACTAAATAAAGTTTAAGATCCTATCCCGATTCGATAAAAAATTGCTGTTGAACTTCCCACTTTGTATTATGTTATTACCATCTAGTTCGATGAACATAGTGATCGCCCATCAAAACCTTATTATTCTTCTTCCGAGAAAGTTCACATATACTTCCATTACATTCTGATCTGTTTGTATCGTTATCAGACTATTATGTGTGTTGATTTGGTTTGCCTAGAATACAACAATTTCTCTTTACTCTCGAAGCGAACATCCCTGATATCTGTAAGCCAACTTTTGTCGTTGCCCTCGTCCATTAATTTAAGGAACAAATCAGCGGTCATCCTCACAACCTGAGCCACTTCTCCTCCGCAGCAAGCTCTGACCTACCTAAGCTACTGTGAGTGCTAGAGATGGGTGGACCAATGGCGACTCTAATATCAAGCAATGTTAAACTTGCCCGACACACTTTTTGTGTCGTTAACGCAAAGGTGACGATTAGCGTTAATTTCAAAGTAGTTTTCTCATGCTCCCGAGGCTGGCTTACGTTTACTCTTGCCAGAATGCTGGCTCAGAGAACCATAACTTTGTGTTTTGTCGACTGGCCATAAGTTCGATGAAGCTGCTATTGTCTACAAGGACATTTTTAGTTTGGCAGCTTGTCTCCAGGTGTGGGATGGAAGGTTAACCCAGATACCCTCCACAACAAAAATTTGAACAAATGTATTTATGCCCTTTTAGAAGTCTCACTTTCATCGATGGGAGGGGGCGTTATCGTGCAAACTTCATTCGGTCGGCACATGCCGCAGTTCTGTTTGTGACATGTCCTGTCTCGCAAATCGATATAATTCCCTCACACACTACTGATTAGTGTAGCAGAGTAAGGACCAATGAAAACATCTTCATGTAAGTCGAACGTACCTTTGGGTTTTGTCCTGATATGGAGTGAGGCGCAATCGGCTGACTGAATGCCGTCAACAAGACGGATGGTATAGACCTCAATATCGTACAGTGAATCAGGTCGAAGATCTGCAAGCAATACGGTTGGCCGCGTTGTATTCATCGTCAATGCACTGAAATAAGAGTGGAGTAGTTGAGTATTGGATTAATGGTTATCACGATTCGGATAATCTCGTGTTTGACTTGGATATCATCAGGCAGTATCCCTTAGTTGCTCAGGCTCCCAAATGGCAAGAACACGTTTGAATTGGTCAAAATCGTAGGTTGCTTAAGTTTTCTTCTGATCATATGGTAAAATCGTGCGCTGAGGCTAGTACGGGTGAATTTTCGAAGGCACAAGAAGTCTGGATCAACCTTGATTTCGTCTTGTAAGCGAAGCCAATCTACGCTGAAAAGCAGAGTAACATTGCGAGGCTACATCGTCCTTATTAGGAAACTTCAACAGGGCACAAACCTCGAAACTCCAGTAAGAGGTCTCAAACCCCCGACCTCCAGACTGCTAGTTCAAACACGTAACCAGCAACTGATCAGCCCTGTGAATAACTTACACTTATCACGGAGTTCACATCACGAGGTCACAAGTCGACCGGCCCCATGAGGGGTGACATTTCAAATGAAAGGTGCAGTTGTCGTATGAAATATTCTTCTCCTTCTTCGGCTAACGTCGGCCTAGTTGCGTTAATAAGGACGTTAATCCACTCTATCTTATTCACACGCTTGCAGGAGACTGAGTCTTCTGATTACTGGAATGAAGCAAAAAGCAGCTTGCTACAGTCTTAAGTGCGATTGAAGTATGGAGGGATGACTTGTAAATTCGGCAAGCAAAAAGCGTAAAATAAGCTGATATGGATCAACCGGTGCTTTCTAACAGATGTCATACCATGAATCGGGAGAGGTGCATTCTTATGAAGGCCATAATCAAAACAATGGCCGAAGAAACACCAAATTTGGCTCCAGATAAAGAGTGATCTCAACGTTTGAACAATGATTTTTTAATCTAGGTCAAAGGATAGTTTTGGAAAATTGCGTAGGTGTTCCGTGTAAATAAACTAATGAGGGATTGGAATGGGACCAAGTCTGTCGTGAGCCGATGACTGCTAACCTCCTTGCTCATGGTACCGCAACTATTTTACTACTCACAAAAGCCATCAGTAGTTGAGAAAAGATAAAAATATCCTGCATGCCGCCTGAGGCCTCTCAGGAGGCCATCTCACGAAGAACCGGTCAACACCAGATTAATCGATGTGAATCATGTGATAAGAATGGACATAACAGTTCGTGCTTCAATGAAGGTGATGAATTGTTGATTGAGCATCTGCAGTTGCATAGTAGTGTTCTCAAGGTCCGACCTCACAGGTTACGGGTTTCGTTATGAACGAAATTAACGTGCAGTGATTATCCGCCTTTCAGCCGATGGTAGTTCCACTTCCAGGATAAAACTAGGCATTAGAGTTTAAAAAAGGCCGGAAAGTGGACTGTAACACTTGCTGAAGAGTTATTATCTCCTCTAAACAGCAACCTAGAATTTTGACGGAGCACGTGACAATCTAACATTTCATAAACCTTGGGCGTTGATTTGATTGATTGTCGTTCTCTAGATTTCTAGTCGTCTATTCTGAGCGTCACTCATTTTATGGCTCACCAGCTTTCCTTGCTTCCAACAGTTATATCATTACTTCTCTGAAGTAAACACCAGAGTATATAAAACCAATAAAGAAACAGTTTGACTTGAGGGCAAAATCAGATTCGAAGAACCCCGAGTAAATCTATCAACAGTGATTTTCTCCACCAGATTTTGAATCTATATTCACACGTTTCCATAGGATGAGACAGATCATGTTTCAGAAAATACCTACCGTGTAGTGTGGAGCGGAACAACCCGCACTTTATAGGTGAATTCCCCTTCTGAATCGGTGGGACCACTTGGAGGGAGCCAGGTCAAATAGACTTGTGTGTCGCTGACACTGAGAATGCGAGGACTTCTCGGGGGTGAGGGAGGTTCTGGAGAACTTCCGTACAGATTGCCTGAAAAGGGATATAATGAGCATGGAGCATAACATGATGACAAATAACAAAGCATGAAACTTTACAACAATGGATTGTCTTGCATTAAAAGTGTTAGTTACTTGAGACAGAAAATCATATGTTGTCGGAATGTTCCAGTGAGTACTCATTTGCTTCGTTGTTGATCTGGTGGCAACACAGAGTGCACAGACGGTCAAAAGTTTCTTGCAAACCAATCTGGTTCTAACTGGCGTCTGCAATGAACCTCAGCTGAATCTCCCGCCTAACCTATTCTTCAACTGAAAGTGCTGTACAAAGACGGATTGATTTTTCATTTGGAATAACATTCAGGTTATCGCAATGAAAGCGCTCCGAACGACAACGAAAACTCCCGGAGAGCCCTCTACCGGTTTTGCTCTTCTTAAGGTTCATCAGGTAGTCGCAGTCCAAATTTTCCATCAACCGGTAACAAATATTTGCGGATTGGAGAAATGCTGACAGGGAACTTAAATGAATCCCTGCTAAATCACATTCCAATGCTCACATCGTTAACACTAACTTGATTTGCATTTGATCCTTTATTGATTGTTGCTCAGGTGCCGGTTGCCAATTACAAGCACACTACCAGTATCTGCAAACGGATCAACCGCCACTGGCTCATTAACTAACCAACGCAACTGAGCTACCAATATTCCAACTTTGAAATAAAATAAAGTGAAGCGAAGTAAAGTAGTGCAAAGCAACTCTTCGCGCACTCCAAGGCAGATTTTCAATATACCTTTAATTGGAACTGGAGAGGATGGTGGTAGTTCCGGTCATATAGATAGTCGTTCGCCTACCGAACAAGCCGATCACCAACAATGCTTTCTGTCTGGTGTTAAATCACGAAAAAAGCTAAATGAAAAATTGGAGACGTGATTTGACCGATAGATCCAGAGAAGGACGAAACAAGTGATGGACTATTCAGTTATTTGCATCAGACGGTTAAGTATTGTCATACAAAGGAAACCAGAGGGCGGTCTTCTAACTCTCGAATGCACCCGGAGTCCTCGTGAAAATAAGGCCTTGGTGGTTTCAGGAGACGTACTATGATTGTGCGACTTTTGATCCAGCAGTGATATTACCACTTCTCATTTCTGATTGCATAATCAAAGTTGTAAGTTGTACAGAGTTATTAGATTTCACCATACCTTGAGTAGCACAATCCAAAAATCTAGGTGATAAGGAAGGAACCTGCAAAATGTTGACAAATAAAGGAATGCGCGTAGTTAAGCAATGCAAGTAACATCAACTACAACATGTGAGTGTAAATTTTTAAAGCATGAAGGATAACAACGAAGATTCTTACCAAAAAATCAACATACCCGCTTCTATTCAGGCATAGACGATGATGATCGGATTCAACCTACATTGTTCCGTAGTGGTAGATTTTAGCTGCACATATGAAAGTAATTCGTCAACTACAAACGTGAGTGTAAATTTTTAAAGCTTGAAGGATAACAACGACGATTCTTACCAAAAAATCAACATCCCCGCTTCTATTCAGGCATAGACGGTGATGATCGGATTCAACCTACATTGTTCCGTAGTGGTAGATTTTAGCTGCACATATGAAAGTAATTCGCTTATAGCTAATTCGAATGAGACCCTGGAAATATGGGTACACTAGAACACCAAATTAATGATGAACACTCCTAGTAGTTGTCTCATCTATCAGGAAGAACAGCATCTTAGTTTCGTCATAAAAGTTGTGTCTTGTTGAGGCCTTTTTAATCAGTTTTTGTTGGCAAGCAAAATGTCATTCTTGTGTAGTCTGTTGGACTGCAGCTTGTTTGAAACATAAAAAAGTCGGCAAACATAGTGCATGATGGAAGCTATTCATACCAACCTCTTTTACTCCATTTTACATCTGTCAAAGTGAAACTGCAAGTCTTTTATGCATAGCTCTATGGATTTCCCGAGGAAGCCACTGAGAAGAAGAAGTCGGGATTGTCTACAGCTCTTGTTGGTAAACTCTTCTAACTGTGTGGGTCCTTACCAAAATTCTAGTCTCCTGCTTTGCAAATATACATGTCAATTATTATTTCTTGACCTTGGCAACAACAACTGAAGTTGAATTGATATTCAGCAAGCCCAATTCAGTGTGTTGTGTCATTTCGGGTACTGTAAATCAATTTCCTTGAAGATGAACAGAACACGAACTATGGGATATTTGGCTTCACACAGCCCAACCAACTGGGACTGTTCCTAGCTAATTCTCCTATATACAGCTCGGCCACATGAAGTGACCTATGTAGCAAAAGGGTGAACGCCAATGAAATTATGGAAAAGGGGACGAAAGCAGATCTTCTTGTGTTTGTTGTTGTGCATCTCCTATTTTAGATGGGGATGGGCTGATGAGACTGGAGCTATGAGAATAAGTCAGTAAGCACTCACCTGAAGAATAATCACTTATAGACTGTGGTTCAACGGTCAGCGTGATAGCAAATTGGGAGGAGCCGTATCTATACGATATGAAAGGGAAGTGAGATATTCCATTTGACTGACAAACAACACCGAGTAGATGTGCAGTGTGTCACGTGATAAGGTTCGAACACATACAATGAAGAGATAAATCCCATTGATTTTATCACCGGATCAACTAGATTTGCATCTGTTAGGCGGAAACATGTTTGGTGGTTTTCAGAAATGTGCGTTTTAGGATGGGAACAGCAAGCGCAACTGTAGAATGTCCTTACTGCTCCAAAATATAAGCAGCCTATTGTAGAAGAAAAATAATTAACCAGTGACATGTTCTGTACCGTGGAAGTCCATCAGTAGACGTGACAGTGCGCAGAAAATCGCGTAACTAACGAGGGAGTAGCGTCGGAGGTCATCTAATAACGGTCTAAAGTTTTACCGACTTTGTTACCGATCTCAGAAGCTCTCGCTCAATACAGAATATTTAACTTTCCTCCTAGGCCCATTCAACGGAGCTCTTACAGGATCCATCAGGAAATTCGGTTGGGCGTGCACGAGACACCAGAAACACAGTTCTAAATGTTGAACGTTCGCGAAAGGCCACAAAGGTCAGTCTAGCTTAGCCGCAAATGTCAGTGCATTTCAATGCATGAAATGTGTTCATTAAAAAGACCAACAATGCTGTCATCTCACGTAGTTACACATAAGTTTCGCCTTTCAACTCCCATGAATATCCCCTAAAGTTCATAATCGGTATGGAAACGCTACCGATTCCAGCCATGTGCATGCCTTTAATTATGCCGCATAGGATTCTGAATGGATCTTTGTCCCTGCCCGTGTCCAGAATGACCTGACAAACCAATATTCTGGGGAGGAACGAACGTCTTTCAGAGCTAATTGGCTTTTTGGAACGTCATTTTCCACCACCCCGCTTTACCTAAAAAGGGAAGAGGGTATGCAAGGCATAGTGATACAAAAAACGACTGACCATCCTACCGACTCTAATCATGCTACATTAATCTACGAACCATCCTGTGTCCCTAGACTGTGGGATATCCGAGTACTTGCTGGACACATGTGATCCTAAAATAGAATTTTAGGACCCGTCTTCTAATCCATTTTATCCGTTATATGACAAGATATTACCTTTAGTAGCTCCCATTTTGTATTGTTGTTCAGACTTTGCAATGTTTTGGTACCTTGCCCGGGGGGATGAGCCAAAGAAATGCCAACCGAAATTTAGAAAAACGAATTCCGTTTCAACGCACACGATGTCTACTTCGATGCTCCCCTTGGCACACTTGACTCCTTTATTGACCAACGGTAAAAGGGCTTTGTGTGCTATCCTTCACTGGCTCAAGTAGAGTTGTAAATTGTTCTTATCGAGAAGGCAATTCATGAACCAGTCATAATCAGAATAAAATAATGTATTTTTGACCCCAAAGCATCAGTGACTGAAGGTTTTAACTGAATTTCTCTTAATTGACAAGATCAAGGAGATGGTCTTAATGGGGTTCCGCAATATCTGTGTGGTTCTAAACTCAGCGTGGAAAATTCAGATTTTCTGTGCTGGTCACGAATGAAGAAAGAAAAAGCAACTGAAAATCTTTTTATTGTTTCTCGCACTTTCCTACCTGCTGCTTATGGCTGCCTAGTAACATTCGAACATTCGTGCGAAAGGTTTGCGTTGGCTATTACCAAGGTATGGCTTGGTTTGCCTCCGAGTGTTTGACCGCGCTCTTTTTTGTCAGAAAAAACTCAAGATACGACAAGTCGATTTTTCACTTACTTTCACAATACTCAGGTGCGCTGCTTTTTGTACATCCATAGGCGACGGATACAGTAAACAGTGAGATCCAAAAACAATTTTCTTTAGGGGAGGTGCTCATTAATAGAGGGATGTCAAAGAAAGGAAAATGTGAACTACAAAATATGGGTTCTTAATGAGACAAGATAGAGACTTGAAACATCATCGGTTGGATTATTCACATGTTCACATACTGTTTGAGGACGTCATTTAGGCTCAGAGCTCTACGCTAACGCCTACTGGGAGGAATTGTGGACACGTCTCAAGCGGTGTGAACATATTAGGTCACCTTTGACTTTGGTTTATGTCACTTCTAGTCCCATCAGTTTTTTTATCTCGTCTTCACATGGAACTTGTATTTAGGGCGTGTCAAAAGTTTACGACGACCGCTTGCGAGTGACGTTGTCTTAAAGGATTGTCCGAGGCCTTTCTTTTACTAGTCGGTCAACGAACCTGCCATGTAGCGCATTAGAAAGTCTTGGTTTTCCTAAGAGTTTGTCGGCATCTTTTGATCAATAAATAGGTGGAGTTTCCAACGAAATAAATTAGTTGGAATGTGTCCTAAAACCATAGAGTTACCGAAATTAATTCGCAGATACACATTGGTTGGTAGGATTACAAGAATTGTCAGAGGCATATCCACGGTTTGCTCCATCTCATAAGCCTGTTTACATCAATCTCTCTACAATTTATTGAATCGCACAAACAACAACGTTAATTGGGTGCACAGGGTTTATTTGGGACTTTCTCGGTTGCCACCTATAGAAAACTGGTAAAGACAACGTACACCCCTCCATAAAGCTCGTTTTCGTCCTCCCTGGCTAATTTCTCCTAAGTAATTTGTCATTCCATCTTTGGCTCAGACTGTGTGGAGATGAGGACGATGCAGCACATTTAATGCATATGACCCGACCTTTCGATAAGTATTGAATAGGACAGTGTCTACTGACTCGGAATGATCGTCTTATCAGCGGTCAATGCAGAAGAAATTCACCGTTTTAATCATCTTAATCTTAAAACGTCGAGCGATTGTCTGCACTTCATTTTGCTTTACTATAATGTCCTCCAATTGTGTTGCTAAATCCGGTACCAACTTTCCCAGGGTAGGACCAAAATGTACTTTAAATGTCCCATCCTGCTTGGAGAGTTTCAATTCGTAAGTGAGTACAGACAGTGTGAATTACGTGGTTTAAAAGCATCATCGTCCAAAATATCGTCAGGTCACGATGGATGTTGGCGGTGAGTAAGAAAAGATAAAAGCCGGTAGACTGATGTGGCTTAGTTGTTTGAGAACGGTTGAGAAAAAAAATCGAATACAATCTTGTGTCATTACATTGGATATAATGTTGTCAGGGAAGAAGTATTAATCGTGCACTCTTTGGGACTCGTGAAATAAATGGAAATAGCTTTTGTAAAGTTATGAATATGCACCCCAGCAAGAACAGCACAAATGAAAAAACCCACGACATCCCTCGTCCTGGGGCTACTAAGCAGCTCAGTTGGTAGATTAATCCTTTAGTAACCGGGAAACCGAACAAGGACTCCACATATTTTGTTGTGTGCTGTGGTCTATATTCGAGATTTCTAAAATCGTCTTTACTGCAATCTCTCATGTTGGCCCAAACAGTTGTTTTCAGGTTGAGAATTTGGTAACTGGAGACAGCTTTATCTCTTGTAGTGGATCATACAAGAACACAACGGTAGTATTACATCATGCAAGGCACTCCATTATCTTGAATCTCCTTGTAGTAGGAACACGCGATGATCTTTGTGTGGAGCACCTTCCACCAACGTTATCCTGGAATTGAGTGGTTCATTCCTATAATAAACTGATTGGTTTGTGTGATGAACATGACTGATACTCTATTCGTTGCTCTATTCATTATACTCTTGTTTTAATATTCCATATGCTGTACATATACGCCGATTCGAATACATACGTGCTGGTTGCTACGCTTCGCTGAATTCTGTATTTCTAGTTTGTCTGGTTATACCGATATACGTACGAAACTTAATTCTCACATTTTGGCGTCGCGGTTGGAACAGCTCATCATGCCTGCAGAAATGGAACCATTAGATTTTAATTCAACTGCGCGTGACATAAAGGATTATTTGGAACGGTTCGACATATGGTGTCTCACAACATCCGATATGGATGATTAGAAACGGCATATTTCCTGCATTTCGTTGGCAAGTCTCACAACAATATGGATGATTAGAAACGGCATATTTCCTGCATTTCGTTGGCAAGGAGGCGTATACGTTGATCAAAAATTTAGTATATCTATCC